AGCTAGTAATAAATGGGAACTTTTACCTTGTCTCTTAAGGTAATAATTAATTTTTTGAATTGTGATTGTAATCACATATGTTTTGTGTGTACATTTAATGTATGTGGAGTGGAAAGGATGATTACCAGTTATCTTGTACACTTATCTACTGAAAACTGTGCTAACATTTTTCAAGAATATTAAATAAAGGGATGGAAGTAACAGTACAAACACGATTCATTAACATACTTAGTGCTAATGTGTGTTACCAAGCACAAGTGCAGTTTGGAACAGAAGAGGTCCTTGTAGAAGGGTCTCATGGAGTTATTCGGGACTTGACTAGATGAAAGGATCTGCACAGCAAAGAGGAAAACTGGAGATATTCTAAACAAGATAAACACAAAAGACAGGCACAAGGTAGGGCCCGAGAGCTGCTCTTTCAGAGGACCGGAGCTAGATTACTAGTCCCCATATTGGAGAGTTGACAGCCTCCCCTAACTCCAGCTCCAGGGGATCTGATGCTCTCCCGGCCTCCACCAGTACCCACATGCACATACACAGGCAAAATAAGCACAGATGACTTGAAAAATTACCTCTCAAATATGTTTGAGTTTATAGCTAGAGGAAAAGAAACCATAAAAGAAAAAAATTAAGTTCTTGTCACTAAATTTTCTTATTTTAAGGAATATTTCCGGTATTGTCAATAAACTTGAATTTCTTTGTATGCATAAAAATGTCCATGTTGAACCTTTGTAAGTTGTGGAATATTGTTAGGATTTAATTTTTAAAAATAATCTGCCTAAAACCTGTTTTTCAGCCGCCTGTCTTGGTTAGATGGTTCTGGATTAGGATTCTCACTGGAATACCCCACCATTAGTTTACATGCGGTTTCCAGGGACCTAAGTGCTTATCCTCAGGAGCATTTGTATGTTATGGTGAATGCCAAATTTGGAGGTATGTATGGTATAACTTAATCTAGTGCTCCTCTGATAGCCAAGTATATTTTAAAGGGCAATGTTTGTTTATTTGTTTGTTTGAGATGAGGTCTTACAGGTTGCTCAGGTTAGCCCTGAACTCCTGGACTTGATTAACAGTGCTTATTCTCCCAGATACTGACACTTTAGGTGTGTGCTGCTTTACCAATCTAAAAAGCAATCTTTGATAATAATCAATATAAAAATTAATCCTTTGGTCCACATTAGATAATATCATATTAAGCAAAGTTAATTACCTAAAACAATTTGGACATTTGAATTTCTTCTAATGGGCATTGGTTTTGTGTGTATCTGCCTTCTATTTTCTATATATCTGCACTTAGAATTCTTCTGTTAATATGGATGTTTCTACTTTTTTAACTGCTTATTCCTTACCCTCCTAAAGACACTTCAGAGATGTGAACCAGTATATTTTGTCTATCTAGAAATTTAAGATAGAATTGTTTTTATTTATTTATTTATTTTAAAGATGTATATGTGGGTGGGGGTTATTGCCTGCTTTTATGTCTGTGTTACTACATGTGTGACTGATGCCAGCAGAGACCAGAAGAGGGCGGAAGATCCCCTAGACCTGGAGTTACAGACTGTAGCACGAATCTTAGAAGGTCTTATTAATAAAAACAAACCTGGAGCCAGGTATTGGGGTGAACGCTGGAAGATCAGAGAAACAGAACAAGCCACAGCCACCTCGCCTCACCAATTCCTCAGCTGATCCTGTTTCCTCAGACTGGAAGTCTCTGAGTCCTCATCCAGAATGAATCTCAGCTGAACTGCTGCTAAAAGCCTAAAAGCTTAATCAGCTCTAGTTCCTGGTTTTCGTGCTTTATGTGCCGTTCTGCTTTCTGCCTTCACTTCCTGGGATTAAAGGCGTGAGTCACCATGCCTGGCTGTTTTCAGTGTGGCTTTGAACTCACAGAGATCTGGATGGATCTCTGCCTCCAGAAGGCTAGGATTAAAGGTGTGAGTGCCACCATTTTCTGGCCTCTATGTCTGTCTAGTGGCTTTTCTGTTCTCTGACCCCAGATAAATTTATTAAGGTGCATGATATATTGGGGAACACGGTATCACCACAACAGTCTTTGTTTTTTATGTGTTTGTCTGTGTGAATGTATGCTACATGCGTGTGGATACCTGCAGAGACCAGAAGAGGGCATTGGATTCCTTGGAGCGGAGTTACAGGAAGTTTTTTTTTTTTTTAAGCCAAACAATATGCATTTCAGGAACTGAACTTCTAGAGCAGTGTGTTAGCTACTTTTTCTATTGCTGTGTCAAAACACCATGACCAGCAACTAAAGAAAAAAGTGTTTAATTGGGCTTAAAGTTCCAGAGAGTTAGAGTCTGTGATGGTGGAGCAAAGGCGTGGCATCAGGAACAGCTGAGAGCTCACATCTCAGACCACAAGTAGAGGCAGAGACAACACTGAGTGGCAGGAGATTTGAAACCTCAAAGCCTATCCCCAATACACACCTCCTCCAATAATGCCACAGCTCCTAACCCTTCCCAGATAGTTCCTCCAACTGAGGGCCAAGCGTTTAAACAGATGAGCTCATGGGGGCCGTTCTCATTCAAACCACCAGGAGCAACAAGCACTCTTAACCACCGAGCTGTCTCTCTAGGCCCCGGCTGGTTTCTATTTTGTTTAGTAGTGGTTCGCAGTAGGTGGGTGGGGAGAACTTGATGTGCTGCTGCTGTTGGTTGGTGAAATTTTATTGGAGGAGGAGGGTTGCTACTGGCATCCAGTAGATGCCAGATTGCGTGCAGTACAAATGTTAGGAGTGTCACAGTTCAGAAGCCCTGCGCGCGTTTTAAGATTCCCGAGCTTTACTGTTCGTGAAACTATAAGTAAGTTGTCAATTCTAAAATAATGGGTAGCTTTTCTCTGAAATCTTGTGTAACAAGTCGGGGTTTTCGCTTGGTTCCAGATTTAACCTTTTTTTTCCCCCAGAGCTGAGGACCGAACCCAAGGCCTTGCGCTTGCTAGGCAAGCACTCTACCAGTGAGCTAAATCCCCAACCTCATCATTTTTATTTAGTTGTGAACACTAGTTACTGATTTTTAGTACTCTGCAGAGCAAGCCATACCTTATTAAGTGGTATTGACTGATCCAGCTATCCAAAAATATTCTCACTATAAGATTTCAAAATTTTCCTGTTGGAAAGGGTTCAAAGATAGATAAAAATATCATGAAATTTGGGAAAGGATAAGAAAATGTTAAAAGTTCTTACATGTTGGAGTGTAACATGACTTCCTAATGAGGTAGTAGACACCAAGTTCACTCACTTGACAGAAGGAAAGAAGGGGATTTTTTTGGCTCACAATTTCAGAGATATTTCAGTCCATCTTGGTGGAGAACACATGGCGGCAGGCATGTGAGGCCGCAGCTGTCCACTTGGCAGAGGACGAGGAAGCAGAAGGGGGTAGCATCAGAGCCAGGGGTGGGTAGAACCTTCCAAGGTCTGGCCCTAGTGCTGCCCTCTGGGCAACAAGTGTTCCAAACATGTGCCTGTGGGGACATTGTAGAACCCATCCATAACACTAAACGCAACTATGATTTTTAGAACTGCTAATCAGTGTGCTGTTGCTATGACAGAAGACTTCGATAATCAGTTTAATAAGGGAGGGTTTATTCTGGCTTGTGAGTCACGGATTTCAGCCAGTACTCATTTGGCCCTCTTTCTTTGAACCTGTGCTGGCCCAGCACATCATGGCAGAGCCTCCACCTGGTTGAGGAGACTTGAAGGTGGTAAAGAGAAGAGTTGTTCACATCATGACAGCCAGAAAGCAAGGCATAGAGGCCTGGAGTCCCCATCCCCTCGGATAAGCTCCAGGGACCTAACGCTCTCCATGTCCTCACCTCCTCAAGATTCAATGCCCACTAGCACCACAGGCTGGTGACTAAACCTTCACTTAATATGTGGGCCTCTGAGATCACTCAGGATCCCAACCACAGCGGTAAGGAAGAAATTAGGTGGTGTTTAAAAGCAAAACTTTCAAAGTATTCTTGTCAATCAATTCCAAATGCTGACGTGTTGGAGCCAGGGGTGTGGCTCAGTAGTATAATATGTGTTTAGCATATGTGAGGCCCTGAGTTTAAGGCCCCCCCAAAACCCAAATAAATGTTGTTGCATAATGCCCGGGAGTGTCCAGGATAAAGCACCCCAGTAAGGAAAGTGTGCTTCACATGCCAGGTGAGTCATTTTCTCATGAGTCTCAGTTTCATTAAAAAAAAATCTCTAAAGGATTATGTTAAATCTCACTTTCCACATGGCCTCATCTCCCAACAGTTCTACTGACTCCCAGTATCACCACAGGCTACAGACGCAACCTTGAATCAGTTTGGAGCCTCAGTGCTGCTGGTTTTTCTTTATACTGAGCTGAAACACAGCAGCACACAAATACTAGGTAAGGGCTCTGCCCCTGGCAGTACCAACAGGCCCCTACATTCCTTTCTATTTGTGACCTTCAGGCACGTTTCAAGACTATAAGAAATTGTTAATAGTGGTTATTTTCAGGGTTGAGATGGCTCAATGGGTTCAGTTCTTGCTGTGTAAGCATGGGGACCTGGGTTTGGATTCTCGGCATCCACATAAAAACTGTGGGAACAGAGAGAAGCAGATCCCAGAAGTCTGCTTACCAGCCAGTCTCACCAAAACAATGAGCCCTGGGTTCAGTGTGAGACCCTAGCTCAAAAACAAAACAAAACAAATAAAAGCAAGTGGGGGGCAAAGGTCCAGATTGAATTTACGGCCTTCTTTTCCATGTGTACAAGCAAGCGTACTACACACACCTGCGTATGCACGTGTATATATCCCCTCCCCCCCAACAGTGGCCTTTTCTGGGAAGAGGATCTAGGCTCTAGACTCCGGCACTGCGCTGTGCAGTACTGTTACACCAGAGTGTATTGCTGTCACTCTTGAATGCAGTACCTCATTATAGAGCAGTAGTTGTAGTATTGCACCATGTTGTTTTTTAAAATGCGTCGACAAAGTTTGGAGGTTGTGACTAACCAGTGATTTAGAATTTTCCAGTAGGTGTATTATTCTGCTTGATAACTAAAGTTATGTATGTTTAACAATGTGCCATTGAAAACAGCACAGAAATATACTATGAAATCTGTTACTTAAAGGTATTATTAGTGGCCACTTCTAATTGTTTTCTTTTGCTCGTCTGTATTTTCATACTATTTTACACTGAACTTATATTAAATAAGTACTTCGGGGTTGGGGATTTAGCTCAGTGGTAGAGCACTTGCTGAGCAAGCACAAGGCCCTGGGTTCGGTCCTCAGCTCCGGTAAAGAATAAATAAATACTGCCTTAGTGGATGTGCCTTGTTTACCTTGTCAACCTTACTGGATGGAGAAAACTTAAAGATGTTAGTAAAACACACTGCTGTGTCTCTGTGATGGTATTTCCAGAGACATTTAACTCAGAGCTGAGGGAAGAAGCCCCACATGTGAGGAGCACCATCAGTCGGCTGAGTGCCCGGATGGAACAAAGGGGAAGAAGGAAGAAGCCTGTTAGTGTGGACATTCTTCTCTCCCTGGCCTTCCCCTCACTTCCCCTACCTTCTCTTCCTTTCCTGTACTCCGTCCGCTTCCTGGCTGCCATGAGTAAGACACTCTGCTCCATCTCACTCTCCTCTCTTCCATGGCTCAGTTCCCTATCAGTGGAGCCAGCTGAGCATGGTCAGCTTGACACCAGGAGCCGAAATCAGCCCTTGCTCCTTTCTGTTGATTGCTCAGTGTGGTGTCACAGTGATGGAAAACTGACACCCCCTGCAAGTAGATTTACTGCATTAATAAGTATTGTTCTGCTTTTCCTTCATCTGCATGAATGTTTAAAGTTTTCTAATGCTACTTTAAATGTAAAAGTTTATTCTTTTCTTCTTTGACATAGCGAAGTATTAAACCCAGGGCTTTGAACATGCTAGGCAAGCGCTCTACTACTGAGTTGTATCCTCAGCCTCCCCAACCCCCTTAAAGTTTTTTGTTTTGAGATGGTTTTGCTAAATTGCCATAGTTGGCATCTAACTTTGAATCTTCCTCCATCACCCTCCTGAGTACCTGGGGCCACCCTAGCTCAATTTGTACTTATATTTGTAGCTGTAGTGTGTGTGTGTGTGTGTGTGTGTGTGTGTGTGTGTATGTGTGTGTGTGTGTATACGCGCACGCATGTAGAGGCCAGAGAACAACTTGATGAATTTAGGTCTTTCCTTTAAATGGGCTCTAGGAATCAAACTCAGTATTGTCAGATTATGCAGAAGCCCCTCACCAGCCCTTAATTTGTGTTTATACTGAGCTTAAACACATGATTGGATCTACCGTCAGTGTCTAAAAATGTCAAATAAATAAAATTTTCTATTCCTTGAGCTAGATCAGCAGTTAAGAGCTCTTGCTGCTCTTTCAGAGGACCAGACTTATGTCATGTCAGGTGACTCAAAGTACTTCTAACTCCAGCTCCAGGTGATTCTGATGCCCTCTTCTGGCTCCTGCATGCATACTGTGCACATAAACTTATGCAGACACACATAAGTAAACCCTTTTTAAAAAAAAAAGCCTTTATGTCTAAAAAGATTTTTTTTTATTCCTTTTATAGAAGAATCAAAAGAATCTGTCTCTGATGAAGATGAGGAAGACAGTGATAATGATGTTGAACCTATTACTGAATTTAGATTTGTGCCCAGTGATAAGTCAGCACGTGAGTGTTCTGTAATATTGATCTTTTCTCTTTATGTTCCCCTCTCCTGTTGATAGACACACCTCTCACCTTCATTACGGTTACCTGCATTCTATTGCTTTATTTTCGTTTTAACCTCCTTAAACTTGTTGAGAGTGGGTACTTAATCATGTCACAAATTGTGAATAGAGTAATAGTATTGTATACAGCATGGTACCTAGTGTATTTTGTGTAAGGAGGATTCTGGTTAGTTTTATTGATTGATGTCTGTCGCTGGAAGTTTCTCCGGTCCTGCCCAGCCCGAGGTCCTGACGAGTCTCTCCCACTGCCGACCGCCCGCAGTCCCAGTCCTGCAGCAGCTTATAAAATCATTACTCAGAGGCTTAATATTAATTACAAATTTATGGCCTAGGGTGCAGGCTTTTTGCTAGCTGGCTCTTACAGTTAGATTCAACCCATTCATATTAATCCATGTATTGCCACAAGTTCTGTGTAAAGCCACATGTTCTGTGGCTTTACATGTGTTGCTTCCCTAGGCACCTCTCAGCGTCTCTGATGACTCTGCCCTTCTCTCTATATCTCTGTTTGGATTTCCAGCCTGCCTCTACACTGCCTTGCCATAGGTCAAAGTAGCTTATTAACTAGCTGATGAGAGCAGCGTATATTCACAGGGTACAGAAAGACACCCCACAGCAAATGTCACCTGTGGGAAGCACTTCCAAAGTTGAAAATGCGGAGACTGATGAAAAGTACCTGTCTTGTGACAGGGGCTTTATCCTCATCAGCAGTGTGACCAGTAACTCTGACCACCGCCCCAACTCTGGTCAGAGTCGCTCTATGTAGTCATGGCTGTCCTAGAACTTGTTATGTAGACCAGGCTGGCCTCAAACTCACTGAAATCTCTCTGCTTCTGCTTCCTGAGTGCTGGAATCAAAGGCATAAGCCATAGCATCTGGCTTGACCTATTTTTTTATTTTTTTTTTAATTATTTATTTATTTATTTATTTATTTTTTAGTTTTTCAAGACAGGGTTTCTCTGTATAGTTTTGGTGTCTGTCTTGGATCTCGCTCTGTATACCAGACTGGCCTTGAACTCATAGAGACCCACCTGCCTCCCGAGTGCTTAGGAACCTATTTTAAATCTCACCACCCATAAAGAGATCTCAGTAATGTCTTGAACTCTTTGTGACTTGTTCCTTGTCTCAGGCACTTTTGGAATAGACTGTGTATTTTAATGATTAATTTTTATTTGAATTTTGCAGATTTTTTTTATAAATATTGTTACCCTAGTAAACCTTTTGTCTGCTTTGAAATTTGTTTGCACTGGTGGTTATGTTTATTCTAAAACTTGGTGGTGTACTGGAAAAAAATATTAGTTACAATTTAATGTCTTTGCTCAGTGGAGGCGATGTTCACTGCAATGTGTGAATGCCAAGCCTTGCATCCAGATCCTGAGGATGAAGACTCTGATGATTATGATGGAGAAGAGTATGATGTGGAAGCACATGGTTAGTGACTTCTCTTATCAGTATTGGTTTTAGTGTTTCATTTTAAGCATGTAGTTGTCCTAAGGGCACAAGATTTTATTTTTTGTATCTGCGTAAAGTAACCAATTTAAAGTGGTTATAAATAAAAGAAGTGATACATTGGCACACTATGTCTAGACCCTTTCAGCAGTCAAATTGGGGAATGAATGAATTTCCCAAATTCAAACAACAATAAGAGATTATTAGGGTTGGGGACTAGATAATGGATATAAATGGGAAAGAAAATAATAGCTAGAAAATGAGTAGTCAAGGGCATACTTTAGGCTGAGTTGACTGCCCCCACATTGAGAAGTCTGTTTATAAGTCTGTTTCTATGTAGCTCTTTAAAATTTTTTTTTTTTTTTAATTTTTTGTGTATGGGTGTTTTGCTTAGGTTTATAATATGTGCACCACATGTGTGCCTGGTGCCCTCTCAGAGGCCAGAAAAGGATGTTGGAACCCCCGGAATACAGTTTTGAACTGCCAGCTGGGTGCTGGGAACCAAATCCTAGTCCCCTGCAGGAAAGGCAAATGCTCTTAAGCCAGGCATCTCTGCAGAGTCCTATTGACCTCTCTCTTAGTCAGCACATCGCTTGAAACAGCTGTGGGCAATGTAGTGTTCTTTCCCCTGAACCATACTTCTGTCTACAAGTATTTCCCCTTGCCTTCCCAGACCAGGATGCATTCACTCCCCTGATAGGCTTGTAGCCTGAGTCACAAACTGTTGTGTTTGCATTTCCCTCTGGTCTTATGCATACCAATATGGGTATCCAAAGTCTTTTCCTACATGTGAATCCAGATCCTCGCCTGAGACTACCCATTTCTGGGATTGTTCTTCACATACATAAACATGTGCTCACTTCTTAGAGATTTTTTTAAGTGATCTTATGTTTTGTCCTTTTTATTTTTTTTTAGATTTTCTGTTTTGTTTTAAAAGGAACATGTTAATTCAACATCCCTTCAGTATCAAATTAATTGTGTTCACTTGTAAAATTCCCACCTTGGACTAATAACGGAGTCACTGGGTTTTGAAACTCCCTCTTCTCATTCTAGACCTAGACAAGCTCGTTTTCTGGGAACTAATGTTTACTAGTTTATTAGCTCTTAAATGTTTTCTCATCCTAGAGGGTAGAAACAGTTTTTCTTTTTCTTTTCTTCTTCAAACTCTTAAACAATGGACTAATCCACAAATTTTGGAAGTCTTTCTGGGAGCCTACACATCTTCAGCAAATGCATTTTTGATTTTCCATTGTGTTTTTTCCAGCTGTTGTGTAATCGCTTAAAAGCTTTCTTTTGTTTAGAACAAGGACAGGGGGACATCCCTACATTTTATACCTATGAAGAAGGATTATCCCACTTAACAGCGGAAGGGCAAGCCACACTGGAGAGATTAGAAGGGATGCTTTCTCAGTCTGTGAGCAGCCAGTATAATATGGCAGGAGTCCGGACAGAAGATTCAGTAAGAGATTATGAAGGTGAGTTCTCTTTCTCTTTGGAGTAAGCAACTGGCTGTAAGGGAAATCTTAAAGAAACAAAGTTTTCTCTTAGAAACTGGAAGGCAATAAAATTTCACAATTAACCTAAAAATATAGGAAGCAAATGTGGAGTTACTAGAATGGCTAGAATGGGAATGTTTTTTGGTTTTTTTTTGTTTTTGTTTTTGTTTTTGTTTTTGTTTTTGTGTGTGTGTGTGTGTGTATGTCCTGTTCACCTTTGCCTCCCAAACTGTGTCAGTATACAAATGGTCTAGGGCCAGCAAGATGCTCAGCATGTAAAGGTGCTCTCTGGTTGGAGGAGAAAATTGTCCATTCAGCAGCATAATAGTAGGTTCATCCTGAGGGCCCATGTCCTACCCATGCGCAGGTCTGTGGTCCAGTTAATGGTAGTAGGCATTAGTTCCATCCTGTAGAACAGGTCAGAAATGCATTCAGAAAGTGTGGTTACTCCTTTGCGTTCGTGCCATGATTACACCAGTGGCCTGTCTTGCCAGGCCATTAATTACTGTAGCTCTCAGCATTGACAGCTGGGTAAGATCCTCCATTTCTTTTCTCCCTGTTAATGTGGATAGTACTTTCTAGAACTATGAAAGCTAGTCAAAGAGATGCTTCCAGGTTGTTGTCAGCTTGATATCTCCATGTTCTATCACTCAGAGATGTGGTGTCTTCAGCAGTAGGCTCTTTTTTCTAGCTTTTTCCATTAATTATTTAATGGCAGGAGAGGGAGAAGGAGGATGCACACATGGGATGGTGCATGGGTTCCTATGAAAGGACAGCTTTGGGGAGTTAGTGTTTGCCTTCCACATTGTTGAGGCAGGGTCTCTTTTCTGTTCTGCATACTCTGGGCTATCTGGCCTTTAGGCTTTCAGGTGATTCTCCCATCTGTGCCTCCCACATCCATCTGTAGTACTGAAGGAGTGTTAGAATCATCTTTCCATGGATTCCCAGGACTCGGAGCCAGCTCAGGTTATCAGGCTTGGACAGCTAGCACTTTGGCTTGCTTAGTCATTTCCTCAGCCTCCATTACACTGGAGGCCATTATATTCCATTATACTCCATTACATGGCTCTGAGGGGATGACATTGTTTACCAGCCCAAGTGTTTACAGACTGTACCTTCTAACCTCAAGCTGATTGTGTGCCGCTTCTGGATTTAACATTTATCCATGTTTACTCATTTAATTCTAAGAATTCTGTTGAATAAATTTATGACCCCCATTTTACACATTAGACAACTGAGGCACAGAAGGATTACATTGGTTGAGGCCAAACAACTGATAAGTGGTAAGAGGATTAAATGAGCCATTATACAAAAATAATATACCTGCCACTGTCATAAGCACTTGTTGCATTTTATATGTGTTTAGTATATATTACTATTTTATGCTCTGGTAACATCGTAACACTTGTTATTTTTAATGATGACAGGATAGTCTTAAAGTGACTTTCTTTAGTTTTTCTTCTTTTGGTGCATTTAAACTTCGCATAATGCTGTGATTGGTATCTCCATGCATATAGCATGTTGACCTGGTTTTCTTGGAGTTCTGCACTGTTTGGGGTTAAGAGCAAGAATTGTGTCTTACCGTGTTGCCCATGCTGGTCTCAGACTAGTAAACTCAGGTGATCTTATCCCAGCATGCGACATTGCATAGCTAGGTGATAGGATGTCAGGGGGTTGGGCAGAAGTTTGTGGCAGGTAAAGAGTTGAGGAGTGAGAAAGTAAAGAAAACAACTGGAGACATTTTTTTAGAGTCCTGTTTTCTTCTACCCTCCTCCCACTCCTTTTGTAAAGATTGTATTTGTGTGTGTGCGTGTGCGTGTGCGTGTGCGTGTGTGTGTAGGAGGTGTTTTACCTACATATATGTCCGTACACCACTATGGTTCGTGCCCTTGGAAGCCAGCAGAGGATGTCAGATCCCTTGGAACTGAAGTTACAGACAGTTGTGATCTGCTGTGTGGGTGCTGGGAATCGAACCTGGGTCCTTTGAAAAAGCAGCCAGTGCTCTTAACTGCTGACATCTCTCTAGTCTTTTTTGTGAGATGACAATAAAGAGGAGATAAAATTCTGCTCTTTTTCTTTTTCCCCACTAGCTGTGTCTTGGGCTTTTTGAGTGTATCACCAAATGCCTTTAAATAGTGTCTCAGTCAGTACTCCACACAGTTCTCCGAAGAATGAACAATTGATGCCTACTTACTGCATTTGAAAATTCCTACCAGCCAGCCAGCCTAGCACTTGGGAGGTGAGCCTGGACTGCACTGTGAGTTTGAACCAGCCTAGGCTACATAACAAAACATTGTCCAAGAACATTTAAAAAGAAAAAAAAACAAAGGAAAGATATAAATTGACTCCTAGCTAGGATTCTGGGATTTGTATGTGTATGTGTGTTTGTATGTTGCTGTTGTGAATTTACAAAGTAAATGTTAAATGTATGGACTGATTGTAACTGACTTAAATCCACAAGAGCTTTTCCTGTCTATCTCCTTTTGAGTAATTTAGTTTTCAAAGTAGAAAGTGTGGAAGTGGAGGCGTGAGATAGTCTGGCCTGGTGGTTCATCCATGCAGTTCTAGCCCACAAGGGACTGAGGTCAGGAACTGAGGATAGCCGAACTGCATGACACCATTTCAGAAACAAAACAAAATGCCAGAATTTTTAAATCAGTTATTTTATCTTTTTTTTTTTTTTTTTTTTTTTTTGAGATTGGGCCTCACATGTAGCTCTGGCTATCCTGGAACTTAGTACACAGACTAGGCTGGCCTCGAACTCATAGTTCTGATTCTGCCTCCCAAGTGGTGGGACTCAAGGTAGGCACCATCATGCCTAGTTTTTAAGTGAATTCTTGCCAGCAGAGGGCACTGGCATCCTTGTTGAATCTCCCTGTCTGAAGTGCAGTCTCTTTATGTGCAGATGGCATGGAAGTAGATACCACACCGACTGTTGCTGGGCAGTTTGAGGATGCAGATGTTGATCACTGAAGATGATGTATGCTGCCATACAGTGAGTAACTTATTCTCTCCTGTGTCACAGAACATGAAAACCCTGGGAAATGACTGTTTTGTTTTTTGAATTCATAATTTAAGAGAATGCTGTATAATGCACAAAGTCTGTAAGATTAGCAGTTTGAAAGATTGTCGCCTCTCTCTGGTTTTTTTGTCCTAAGAAATCAAAGTTTGCAAACATTGTAGTCTGGGTTTAGCATCCGCCAAGCACTACGCTGGAAGGTAGAATACTGTACGACAAAGGGGAAGTGAGTTTGAGCTTAGCAGTTGGTGGTGGCCATCTGTTTGGACACGAGCCTCCCTGCTGGCTCACGCGGCAGTGACAGCCTGAGCATGCCTCGGTCTGCTCTTGAGCCGCTTGCCCTCATTTGTGTGAGCTGAGCCTGTTTCATGGTTTCTTGCACCTTACTGCTTTTCAGTTCCGGGAGGAAGTAAAGTAATTCCAAACTGAGCTTAAGACATTATAATCTGGTATTGCTATCCCTCTTTCTGGGAGCAATAGGGGACAGATGTCCTGTGTACATCTAGTGATCAAAGCTGGTTTGTCCAGACCAGGTACAGTCACCCAACAGCCAGTATTTCCCAGAGTTCTTTCCTGTCTGCCCTTCACGGTTGATATACTGGTTCTCTGCTGGTTTTGTTTCTGGCACATTCTAGTGAGCTTTGCCTTAAGTTTGTCCCTGAGTACTTGCTACTCGGAAACCTTTCCCAGTGTGAACAGTTAGGCTGTACTTTGTTAGGTAATTGAAGGTCAAGGACTAGCAGCTGCAGAGTCCTTTCTTAAAATCTGGACATTTTTTCTTTGTAAAATTATTGTTGTTCCTTCCTCCCTATAATAATGTTGTCCTGTCCTTCCTTCCTCCTAAATACTGGCTGTTTCCCCTCCTTTTAGGCCAGTGTTCTCAGGGTCCTTTGATTTTATTAAAGTACATATTATAGCCTGACAAGACTACTGTGTATAGTCTGACTTGACTCTGCCACTACTGTTGGTCATCAGGTTATGTCTTGAGTACCTTCACTATTTCTGTTGTGATTGTGATTCAGTGGTGGAGACTGGCCTAGGGTGCTCCAGCCCCTCCGTTCAGTCAGTCCTCAGCACTGACCTCCCAACACCCACATTGCAACTCACAAACATCTGTTAAGTCCAGTTCCAGAGGATCTGATGCCCTCTTCTGGCCTCCTCAGGCATTGCATGCACAACATACACATACAGGCAGGCAAACACCCACACACATAAAATAAAGGTGTTTTTTGTTTTCTAATTCTGGTGTTTACAAATTATTATGGTTGTGAAACTATGAATTATGACATTGTGTCTCTGTTTTCTTGTAGTATGGTTATCAAAAAAATAATCCCAAAGAAATTCTGTGCTTCTGTGATTTATGTCTCACCCTGTAAAAGTTTTCCTTCCTCGAACTTTGCTTCTTCCTGTGGTCTGCGGCCAGCGGCATCTCCTCTAACCTCAGTGCTGATTTCACTGGCGCTCGGTTGGTTTTCAGCTCACAGTTCAGACCTCACTAACTTCATCTTGGCTCCCAGCTATGCCACCTTCTGTTATTGTTATTGGCCTGGAAGACAATTTTTTGTATAATCTGGCTTTCCTTATATTTCTCTGAAAAGTTGGCTGTTGAGAGATTATCATTTTGTTTGCAGCCGTCATGAGAAATTCACTTGGCACATCACTAATGGTTACACACTGGGATTCTGGGATTCTTTGTAATATTGAAATAACTATAAAATTGCTACAATTTTTTTAAGATTTATTTATTTATTATGTATACAGTGTTCTGTCTGCATGTATGTCTGCAGGCCAGAAGAGGACACCAGATCTCATTACGGATGGTTGTGAGCCACCATGTGGTTCCTGGGAATTTAACTCAGGACCTCTGGAAGAGCAGGCAGTGCTCTTAACCTCTGAGCCATCTCTCCAACCTCCCTGCTACAAATTTTTTAATGAGCTGCTGTTTTGTTGTTTGTTTTTTTTTTTTCTGCCCATTTTATTCTCTCTGTTCCATGTCAAAGAAATGCTGTATTCATAAATTTTATTCATGCTCATCTGAGTAGTTGACCTGATTTCCAAACAACGTAATTTTTGACCATTTAAGATTGTATGTGCTTTTAAAGTCTGAACAAGGGCTAAGGTGTTTGTGTAACCATTACTAATTTCAGAATAATGATGTCTGGTACATGAGATGGGGACAGAAGAGCGCACAAAGATCTCGAGGTCACAACTCCACTGGTGACATGTGTGCACATGCTGCCTGTGTTCCTTTGGACATGGAGTCTACATAACATAACCGTTCCTTGCTTTTCTCATTTGTAAAATGGGTGATATTAGCTGCCTGGAAGGGTTATTACAAGGCCTGAGAACCCTACAAGACTACACCTAATAATGGTAATAATAACTAAACCTTTTGTCTTGCAGATTCTCTCATAACGGCAGGCGAGAACTTGGTGCCTCTTCCACTCCAGAGTGGGGCTGGTGAAAGGCTTTTTCCTTCTCCAAAACTCACTTTTCAAGACAGACTGTCATGAGACAGCAAGCTCATTACCAACAGAAGAGACTGTGACCTTTATCAACAAAGGTGAATTAACTGAGCGGGTATTTCTAGTTCTCATTTACCCCCAAACTTCCTGTCTAGGTGTCTTCTGAGTAGGCCTCTAATTCCTGCCTCTGCTGTGTGCACATCTGTCAGCCGGAAGGCTTCCATGGTGAAATGTACAGAGCTCACACTGTATAGACTGGGAGAGAAAGAGATGCTGAAGCTTAGATGTCTCTCTGGGGGTTTAAAAGAACTCTCATCCTAAGATGGGAAGTACAGCCCTCAGTGGGGAAAGTCTCTAGCATCTCCACAGAGGCATGGGTCCTTTACTTCAGGCTAACTCTAGGTCACCTATGGGGAACCTCAGCCACACCTCACCAGGACACGAGACTTCTCTGCTGACTTCTGTTCTTCCTCCTCATCCCAGTCTGCTCTGTTCCCTTCTCCCAGCTTAGGTCCTTGACTGTCTACTCTCCTAGTTTTCTGTAACACAATAAATAATCTGTAATGAAGTCTGCAAAGAACGCTTAATGATGTTTTGTCTTTGTAATAGTTAACAAATAAATCTAGGTTTTCTATATCATTGTGCTTTGTTCTTGACTGAAACCTTTAATAGAAAAAAATTAAGATTTATTTATTTTTTTTTTTTTTTGGTTTTTCGAGACAGGGTTTCTCTGTGTAGCTTTGCGCCTTTCCTGGAAAAGATTTATTTTTATTTTATATGTATGAGTGTTTTGCCTGTGTGTATGTGTGTGCATCACATGCATGCCATGTGCCCATGGAGGTCTGAAGAGGGTGTTGGTACCACTGGACCTGGAATTACAGACATTTGTGAAGTGCCGTGTGGATGGTGGGAACTGACTGTCCCTAGGTCCTCTGCAAGAACAGCGAGTATTTTTAACTGCTGAGCCATCTCTCCAGCCCAGCACTTGCTGCTCTTTAGAGGACCTGAGTTCAGTCCCTGCAAACATATTGGGCAGCTCAGAGCTGCTATAATGCCAACTCCAGGGGATCTGACAACCTCTCTGGTTTCCATGAGCATTCAGATACGATGTAAAGACGTACACCCATACACATAAATAAATAATAAAGTGATGCTGGGGCCGGGGTGTAGATTAGTTGGTAGCGTGCTGGTCTAGCTGCAGGAAGCCCTGGGTTTAGTTCCTCGCATTTTATAAACTAGGCCTGCTTGTATATGCCTGTAAATCCTAGCACTCAGGATTGGAAGTAGAAGGATCAGCAACTAAAGGTCATCCTCAGCTAGATGTCACATAATACAAAAATAAGATATTAATACTCAGGGGCTAGAGAGAGGTCTCCGCAGTTAAGAGCTTGTACTGCTCTTGGCAGAGGATCCAAATTTGTTTTCCAACCCACACGTCAGACAGCTCATAATCAACCTGTATCTCCAGCTCTATAGGATCCCACAGCTCTGGCCTCCGTAGGCATCGATACTCACATTTGTATGTGCATGGAAACCTGAGGCTGATATTGGAGTCTTCCTCAATTGCTCTCTACATTCTTAATTTTTGATTTTTTGAGACAGTCTCTGTAGCCCAGCCTTGGCCGGAATTACTGAGCTCTGCCTGCCTCTGCCCTCTTGGTGCTGGAAATAAAGGCACGTGCCACCATGCTCATTTTTACTTTAATTATGTGTATGCGTGTAAGTCTGTGCACATGAGTGTGGGTGCCTAAGGGGGCAAGAGTGTTGTTTTTCGGGAAGCCTACCACCCAGCTCCCAAATAAATACCACACGGAGGCTTATTCTTAATTATGAATATTCAGCCTTAGCTTGGTTTGTTGCTAGCCAGCTTTTCTTAAATTAACTTGTCTATCTTTGGCCTCAGGGCTTTTCCCGTTCTCTTATTTCTGTAAATCTTACTCTTACTTCCAGACTTGTTGGGTGGCTGACCCCTGATATCCTCCTCCTTCTCTGGCTACTTCTTTTTTCTTCC